GTGCGGGACCAGGTGCCATCCCGTTCTGTCATATATAGGGTCCCTGTGAGTTGGTCTGACTCAGCGGGACCTAACTACATCATGTGCTAAAGAAAAAGACCCAGGACTCAACATGTTCTAGAGACAAAAATGTTCTATGTTTATTAAGCATAAAGCAGGACAAAGCTAGACAGAAGTAGCCATTCACATGTGGGAGACCATCAGCATGTGCCTGGTATAGGGGGCCATGGAATCCATTGCATGATGGTCCTGGTGTGTATTATATACTCCAAAGAACAAAGAAAACCATCCCAGGACCGGGATAGCCGGCCAGCCAGTTCATCATTGTTGTAGATGGGACTACCCAAGCTGAGAAAGGAAATGATAGCGATCTGTATGTAACTGCAGGTTTAAAAGGCCACAGGCTTGGTTTGGGGGTTTTAATAACCTGACTGTATGTTGAGGTTGACTCTGATCATGACCCATAGTTACATGGCGGTTACAAGACCAGATAGCTGAACTTTTAACTTAGGATATATGAGTTTGATGGACTGTTTTCTGGAAATCATTAAGACCTTGTTCTTTGGGTAAGCACTTTTCTGCAAGCTACTTAATCTACTTTTAATCAGGTTCTTCCTCGCCCCTCCTCCCTGGGCTTGCTTGGACTTGTCTGTGGGTAGCCTCTTTTGTTGGTCTAATGGTCAGCAAGCAATGAAGACGCAGCCTAACTCAGATGACTCTGAACTTCATGGCAAGACTCAAATGGAGTTGGGGCGCCAGCGGTAGACTGCAGCCTTCCACAGACCAAGAGCCTTCGGTTTCTGACGCTCACAAACACCAGTAGCATTCTTCCTTTTAGGTAGAGGGCATTCATTTCTTGGCAAGTTGTTCTGTCTCCCCTGGGCTAGCCATGAAGCAGTAAAAGGCATGCTGTCCTACCACCAGTTACCTGAGTGATGCCGTGTGGACCGCCCAGAGTCACATTCCCTGTGGGACAATCTGAACAGTCCCCTGTGGATTTAACCTTTCCCACTCAGCCTCAGTGCCCAGCCGGCCGACTGGTTTCCCACTTGCACTTCTGACTTGCTCGCAAGTTGAAATATACAGTCCTGAACCCTGTGTGTCCTGAAAGGGCTCTCACTTCTACTGGGTCCACCAAATCATTTTGTTTCGTGATGTGAACCCCGGCACAAACGAAATACCTTTTGTGAAGAAACCTTTAGCAGAATGAACAGAGGACTCATCGCTAATGCCACTCTTGAGGGCTTTGGAAGATGGAGCAGAAAGCACAGCTCCTCACCCCACTCGGCCGGCGCGTCTCTCCCTCTCTTCTTCCGTCCTTCCTTTCTCTCTCCCCACCCCACCCCCTTTTTAAGAAGAGACTTGAAGGGGGAAATCTTTTTTTAAAATTTTTTTATAACCCATCTGCACAAAACAACAACAAGTCACCCTTTATTTTGTGGCATTCGCATCCGC